GGATTTGAATCTAGCCTCTACTACTTACTACCTGTATGACCTCGAATCCCGCCTCTTTGGACCTCTCCCATATCTTTGTGACCCTGGACATGTCAACCTTTGAGCCTCAGTTTCTTCACCTGTAAAAGGGAGATAATACTATTTACACTACCTACCTCACAAAGGCCATGAGGAAAAGACTTTGTAAACCACTGAGCACCATATAAATAGGAATGAGTTATGGCTGGTGGGAATTACCCTACCAACAGTTACACATGGTAACTTATTAAATGATAGTACAATGACTTACACACGGCATGCACTTAATAAATATGTGCTGAATTAATCATAAAATGGGGGGGGGGAGTGACTGCTAATAAATTATACTCCTACATTTCAGGGACGGGGAGAGTCATGTATCAATCAGGCTTTGTCTCCTTTTGTTACACATTTCCTTAAAGGGAGCAAGGCTAACATGAAATTAGAAAGAATGTAATCAATACCTCATGTCTGACACATGTAGATTTTCATCTCTGGAATTCAAACTGGCTACATTTGGACCCTGAATTATCTACCTTTATTCTATCTGCATTACAGCACCCTTTCAACCATCTAAAATAACTGCTATCTTTCTTTAAGGTCTAGTGTATTTATCTTATCTACTGATCTCTTTTGGTCAAGTAGACCGATTGACCATGGGGTGGATTTTCCTTTCTAGCTCATGGCTGACAAGTATGACCTGAAATCTGTAGTGGTTCTCTTCCCTCAGACAGACTAATGTAGACAATTAGAAACAGCTGATGAAACCTAACAGAAAACAGAAAAATGCCAACTGGCACAAAAATTTCCATTTGAATCACTTGTATATGCAAAGACAAGACCCAAAACAAAACAAAGAAAAATAAAGAAATGGAAGAAAAGAAAAATTAATCCCTGCAACCAAAATATCTGACCTTTGCATGTCAAAAGGAATTACTGACAATAGAAACAGAAATCTATTTTCTACAAGAGAATCTCTCACACCTGGTTAGTTTTTATGTGAACAGAATGTTGGACTACAGTTCTGAAATACAAAAGCCATGATGTTCTGCCCATTGCACTCAAATTAAAATTGATAATTTTTTAAAATGTGAGGATGGTCATTTTGTTCATATAAAACTTCTCTCCCTCAGATAAAAACATGAGAGTACTTTGGATAAGTTCATGAATTATAAATAAGTCCCAAAGTTGAAATTCTAAGTGATTTATGGCTTAAAAGTAGATTTAGTTTCATTTCTTCACTGCCAGGAATGAATCTGGAAAAATGACAAAAGAAAAACAGGGAAACTAAAGTGTAATTATTTCTTGTGGTTACATTACTAAAATAACTTATAGGAGAAATCCTCTGACAATGAATGAACTTGAAACAGATCGTGCTTCAACAGGGAGAGACGGAGAATAATGTGCATGTTTTGCATATAACATTAGTATACTATCTTCTTTATCCCTCCATCAATTCAATCCCTTAATTTTCTCTCTTTTAGCTTTAATGCTGAAATTATGAATAGCTTTGTAAAAAAATAAGAAATCTAACATTTGGAATACAGGAGGGGGTATGGGAGTAAAAACAATTTATGTAGAAACTGTGAATGGTTTTGTAAAAAAATAAGGAATCTAACAATTGGAAGACAGGAGGTGGCATAGGGGTAAAAACAATTTACATGGCTAGAAATGAACCTCTGCAATGCAATGCTTTAAGAAACTGAAAATATGCTAACTATTGCTTTGCTGCTCAGGTGACATAATTTTTCTGCCAAAGTAATATATTTACTTAGAAAAACATTTTCTGTGACAGGAATACAATGTTAATAAATCATATTGCTTATGAAAACACCTGTGCAGGGGTAGGGAACCTGCGGCCTTGAGGCTACCGGAGGCCCTCTAGGTCCTCAAGTGTGGCCCTTTGACTGAATCTGAACTTCACAGAGTAAAGCAAGGGGATTTACCTAGGATCACCTTCTACCTCTCCAAGCTTCTGACACCTCATTCCTCCCCACTTATTCTGAGATCCAGTGACATTAGCCTCTTTGCTAATCTTCTAATCTTCTCTGGGAGAGAGAGGGAGTCTGAAAACATTGTGCAACTCTGCCTCACTTAAATCCAATTTATGCATGAGTCAAAAAGACATCAAACCCCAAACACAATACTCTGAGCATTTTCCCCCGGCTGCTCCCCATGCCTGCAATTTTCTCCTTCCTTTCTACCTCTCCCTGGCTTCCCTGGCTTCCTTTCAGGTTAAGCTGAAGTCCCACCTTCTGCCCGAAAACTTTCCCAGGCCTCTCTAATCTTAGTGTCTTCTCTGACACTACCCCCAACTTATCTTATACACACCATGTTTATACATAGTTGTCTGTATATTGTATGCCCTATTACCCTGTAAGGTCCTTGAGGCCAGGAATTGTGTTTTGCCTTTCTTTGAATCCGAGCAAATAGCAAAGTCTCTGGCACGTATTAAGCAATTAAATACAAGTTGATTGGCTGACTGGAAAACTTTATACTTCAAAATGCTGCTATTAATCCAAGGTTATAGTTATGTGTTATTATTATTATTGTTTTATCAGCACTGAACACTTTTCTTTTAAATGTGATATTATAAGATTATCCGCTTCAAATGTGAGTTTTCTCTATTGCAGTGCCAGGTACATAGAAAATACTTAATAAATGCTTGTTGACTTGACGTGCAGTGACAATTCTTTCCCCCTCCAAGAATTATACTCTAAATAAAAGTCAGTCAAAAAATTATACTTGCTCTGCATGAATTTTTGTAGGCATTTTCCAAAGTCAAATTTCTACATCATAATGATAAAAAAAGTTAATAAGAAAAAGTAGTCAAGAAAATGAAGATTTTTTTTAGCTATAATTTGATTTTGAAAAAAATTTTACTATGGGCAAAATATTTTGTAAAACAGGAAGCTCTGAAAACAAAGTATTTGCTGAGATGACTCTTGTTAACAGCTTACTAATTGGTTTTTTTTTTCCTTGTTTAACTTGACATTAAAAACACACTGGGGAAAACTCTACCCTGGGATGCCAGCTAGTATCACACAAAGGTATTAATGGAATGAAGACAGCTCTCCAGGGCAGAATCTTTTGCTGAATTTTCAAGAAAGCACTGATACCAGGAAAATAGCAAAATACGCTGAAAATCAGAATCATAAATTTCACAGGAAGCCCAGAAGCCACCAAGAAAGTAAAGAGATTCATCGGTACACAGGAAACTGAACTAGGGCTTAACCTGGGCAAGAGCTCACAAGATCTCATCTCTGTCTGGTACCTTAAAAAAATTGTTTTGTTAGGCTGAGAGATAGCTGGCGCCTCAGAAATGTGTCCACCAGGTAGCACAAAGTGGAGGAAAAACCTGGTATCTTTTTTGTCATAATTATAGTCATGAAAATATTGCAGAACAGAGTTTGGAAAATGTGTGAAACATAAAAAAAAAGAGAAATGTTCTCTAGAGAAAAATTATCTAGTAGACAAGAATACCACCAACTGAAGTAACACTACAAATATGGAGAAACAGGTGACTTGAAAACACTTGGTAAATGAGGTAGCCTGAGGCCTAATTCCAGTGGATATTTTATGAAGTATCAGTAATTACAAAGTCTCCCTCAACTCATTTCTTAATATACCATTTCAATCAAATGCAGAGCACATAAAAAAACAGTCCTACTCCAAAAGAACATGCATATGAAAAAGCCCAATGCACTAAAGATTAATTACTCACTTGGGGATCATCCACTCTATGGATTAGTAAATTTTAAAATTCCAGACTGGTTTCCAGCAAACTTCTGGGACACCATGAGTTTTATCAGGAGAGGCAATAAATTTAATCATAATTCCAGTAAAACATAGTTAGGAAAAGAAATCTTTAAAAAAAAAAAAACCTCAGGGAAAGGAGGGTGAGGGAGGGGAACGATGCAAACAATTGCTAAATAATAAAATGGAGATTTTTCAATTTTCTTTGTCATCGACACCGTAAGACTCCCTAATGGCACGGGTTAGATAAGAGATCTGGCAGGCATGCCATTGGGAATGAGGAGGACGAGGAGAACCCAGATGGAGTATTTCAAGATCCTGGATGTTTTATTTAGCTTTACTGAATAAAGATCAGGACAGGTCTGCTATGATAGGAACAAATGGCCAATTGTATAACACCATGACGGTCAAGGCTATTCTGGTAAGAGAGGGAGATTAAAAAAAAGCTCCTAAGAGGGTGACTGTCAGAAAGAAACAAAAAGAATGGGAGAGTCCAAAGGGGAGGAGACAGGAGTGGCCAAAGGGGTTTTAGAATTAGAGGCAAATTGGTGGAAATCTGGAAATCTAGCACAAACTTGAATTAGATACAGGATTTAGAATCAGTTGGTTGAAAGGTTAGGCCACAGAAGAGATAATAAAAGCAAAATTATGACCTGACCACCACAAAGGAGTAAGATTTTCTCATGGGGATGGATTTCTAGGAATCCTGTGCATCCACGAGTCAAAGGGAAGATGGGCCACAGTTTGGCTACAGGAGAAGACAGGAATGATGCCAACATTGGCCTCAACACCAAAAGACTGGGAGAAAAGGAAAACGGCAATGCTGTGCAAGGCATAGTTAATAGCACAATTAAGTACAAATGGATCTTTTTAGAGACAGTTTGAGCTGTCTTCAGCAAAACTGAAAAGAGATTGGAGCTAGAAAGTAGAAGAGAGGGTGGTCTGGACCCAGAGGGCATCCAAGGCACAAAACCACCAGCTAAGTAAGGCATTCATAACAATGGTTACGTGTACTATGGGTAATGCAACTGAGGCACTTTTGTTCAGGCCAATTTGGGTAAAAATGCTCTGACTGTTTAGTGGTCTAATCAGCTGGTTTCCAAGCAAAATCTCTGAATTTCTAAAGTAGACTAATTGGGGACACTTGAATTTAATTTTTTAAAAAATGAAACAAGACCACAGGAGAAAAATAAGCTTAACTCTGCAGAGGAAGAAGGGTGTCTTACCTGTTATCAGTGGTATCTGTGCTGGAAGTAATCCTGAATTATTAAAAATTGCATTTATTCCAATATTATAAGGTTCCATTGGAAACATCTGCAATGAAGACCATTTTAAAAAAAAGTTAAACCACTATTTTTCCTAGGATGCCTTAAAAAGTTGAATTTGAAGTATATAAAAAATGCTCTATCAATGGATGTATATTTTTTAAAAAACATCAAAACTATACAAAGACTAGTGAAGAATATTTTTTTTTATTTCCTAAGGACCATGAAGGTAATATCTACCATGCAAACACTTATTTCTATATCTAGCCTCCTTCTTGAGGCGTTGACCGTTTTTGAAATTATGTAGAATAGCAAGTTGAAAACTTTCAGAATGACCCTGGTTGATTTTAAAAGATCAGGCATCTCATGGCTTGGCCTTGAACTTGAGAAAAAGGACTTTTCTCAGGGAGTTCTACATTCAACTGGAGAAACAAAGGAGGAGGAACCAGGCCATGCTGTACCACACATTCCAGAGCTTCCCTGGTAAGGAAGGGAAGGCACCAAATCTGGGCCAGCCCCATTGGCTACCATCCCTTAAAATACTGACCGACTTGAAGGAAGTGTGAACCACTGAGCCCAGAGTTTAGAAAGAAAAGAAAAGAAATGTATATACAAAGCACACACCTTCAAGGGCCCCTTCCCCCTCAAGAGAAGAAAGATAAGGAAATGCTCCACCCTTGTTGCTGGTGAGGGCAGAGATGCCCACATGACAGGCACTTTCAAAATGAATGTCTCCCCAGCAGTTTTTGGAGGGCCAACCATTTTTTATTGATAAAAGATTTCCTGTGTTTAGGCAGGAAAACATGGTTTTAAAACCAAGCAGAACAGTCCTTATACATAGGTTAGGGTTCACCTTTAAATATTAAAAGTGAAAGGTAAAACAAAGGTTCTGACATTCTGAATAACCAAGCGTCTGTCACATTACAATCAAAGAAGGCATTCCTGGACCTATTCTATTTCCCCTGCTTTCAAAAAAAAAACAAAAAAACACCAACCCAACAACTGTTAAGTGTGTAAGAGCTAATTTTCACTTTTAACAGGATAAACCTATATTTTTTTACACATCACGGAGAGGATAAATTTAGGGTAGTCTCAAAGGGAAGGCACCAAGATTAATGAGGTTTATCCTTCATACACACACACAGACACACACAGACACACATACACACCATGGTCATCTACCTGTTGTCTCCATCAGACCATGAGCTTTTTGTTGCACCTTAGCATGGTGCTTCGCACACGTAGGCACTTAATAAATGTTTGCTGACTGACTGATTAAACATAGTGCTTTTAAGAAAATGGTGTGCATTCTTTAAAAAACAAACTCCAAACCAAAGCAGGAGAGTTCATTTTGCTTTTTGGAAAGGGAATTTCTAAGCCTTTCTCACTTAGATTTGCTTTTTGACCTTGTTTTCTGTCTCGTTTCATTCCTGGGTTCGCTACTTACTGGGTCAACATGCGTCTGAGTATCCCTTCCTCATCTGTATGTGGAAGACTCTCACTCTTTATAGTGTTGTTACAAGGCCCAAACGAGGTAAGGATATTAAATTAGAGGCATGAGGGAGTTGCTATAAAAATGGGGCAAAAGAACCTTCAAAGAGCTGTTTGTGGGTTTTTTTTTTAATTCACATTTTTAAACATCAACAAAGTTATTCTGGAATAGCAGTTACCTATTTTTATAGGTTACATCAACTTAATGTTACTAATTCAAATCATTACCTTTAAATTCCAGGACTTCTAACTCTTAAAGAAACCAATTTATACTTGGTTTTGAATTGATTGGTTGAGAGAAAGGTTAGGCTACATTAGAGATAATAAAAGCTAAATTATGATCTGACCAAAGGACTAGGAATTAACTTTATATGGGGAATAGAGGTAGGAAGACGGAAATGAGTATTGCTGTTGAGTCGTTGCAGACTCTTTGTGACCCCATTTGGGGTTTTCTTGGCAGGGATAGTGAAGTGATTTGCCATTGCCTTCTCCAGCTCATTTTACAGATGAGGAAACTGAGGCAAATAGGGTTAAGTGATTTATCCAGGGTCACATGACTCCTAAGTGTCTGAGGCCAGATTTGAACTCAGAAAGATGCCTGACTTTCCTGACTAGCACAGCAGTCTAACCACTGCGCCACCTAGCTACCTCAGATTATACAGAGGCTACTATGCGCGAGGCAACGTACTAAGTACTTTATGATTATTATCTCATTTTGGTCCTCACAACAGCTCTGAGACGTAGGTGCTGTGATGATCACCATTTTACAGTTGAGGAAACTGAGGCAGACAAGAGATGAAGTGACTTGCCCAAGGTCACACAGCCAATAAGTGTATGAGTTTGAATTCGAACTCAGATCTTCCTAACTTCAGGCCCAGCTATCTCTCCATTGAGCCACCTGGCTTCCTCTTTTATTGCATCATAATAGACGTTTGTATGTGTAAATATAATTTAGGAGACACAAAGCTGCCTTTGCAGTGTGGGTTAATTCTTCCAGGCTTCTTATATTTTACTCCTCTCTATATACTCTAGGATGCTATGTCTCCAGCGTTCCATCTTGTCACCCCGAGCCTGTCCAAGGTCTCCCTCCACACCTCCCCCTCCAGCAGTCCCTGGCTTCCTTGAAGACTCGGCCCAAATAGAGGCCTTTCCCCGTCCTCCTATCGCTGGTGCCTTCCCTCTGAGACGATGATCTGCCATTTATTTATACCACAGAACCGAACTCTAACTTTTGGGACACCCTGGACAATTTGCACATAGATTATTATTTGCATGCTGTCTTCCCCTCCTCTCCACCATCCTTCCCTCCTCCCCACGCAGCCAAACGCTCGTGGACCCCTTGACTATGACAAGCTTCCAATGGATTTCCTAACTAACACAACTGATTTTGATTCTGCCTATTTTAATAAGCCAATATGAATGCTTTAAACATGATTAAAAAAAAAACCAATATCATTCCAGCACTTACTTGTTCGTGGATCACCAATTTGTAAGGATCCTCTTCTGCCATCCTGGAACTGAAAGGAAGAAATGAAAGGCATTGGAGAATGAGAATAGAAAGGGTTCCCTCCCTCCCTGTCTTCTTCATGGGGGATCACGGTGTTCTCTAGGAACCTGAGAGGACAGCCTCCTTTTGGGGATAACATGGGGTACAGCAAATCAAAAACTTTCAAAATGATAAAAAAAAAGAACCAGGTTGTTTTTAAACAATATTTTTAAATTTAAATTTAATTTAATTTAAAATTTATTTTTATTTATTTATTTTAAATTAATTAAAAATTTTTAAACAATATTTTTAAAAATATCAAGTCAGTTAACTAGCATTTATTAAGCTACTACCATGTGCCAGGCACTGTGCTAAGCACCAGGGCTACAAAGAAAGGCAAAAAATAAACCAATCTCTGCTCTCACGGAGCTCATAGATAATGGGAGAGACAGGATGAAAACAGAATAAGCTGAGGGCAGTCTCAGAGGGAAGATATTTAAGTAGGCTTGGGAATGTCTTCTTGCAGAAGATGTGACTTTAGCTCAGACCCAAAGTTAGGGAAGCTGTAAGATGGAAATGAGGAGGGAGGGGATTCTAAGCCTGGGTGGGGGGGGCCATGAAAATACCCAGAATCAGGAGATGGAGTGTCTTGTATGAGGATTACCAAGCAGGCAAGTTTCACTAAATCCACAAACTGAAAACACAGGAAGGAGCCAGGCTCAGTGCTCAAGTGTGGACTTGAGAAAAGGCAATATAAAGGGGAAAGGGACAACACCCACGTGGATTAAGTAATCCTAATTCCTCAAAAAAAAAAAAAAACCTAACTAGATGCCAGCCAGTGATATGCTAGTAAAATGTTTAACAACTGGCTTTCAGGGAGGTGGGGGAGGGGGTAACCATGACACACTTTTAAATTTAATCTGCCCCCTCAACATTTTCTCCATCACTTTCTTAAATCTAGACAATCAACATCAGAGTGTTTTTCTGAGGGGTAAACATACACACTAAAAATTTAACAATCAGCTCTCCATAGCTGGTTTGAGCTGGAACACCCCTGATTCCAGCCCTTAAGCATCTCATAGTTCTCTACAAGCTACTTAAAGGGCAGGAATTAGAGCCAGTTATGTTGCTCCAGGAAGGGCCTGACCTACGCATAATGAGTCCGTCTCTGTCTTCAGTTTCTCTGTATGACATTGATATAAGTTCACTACCTTGAAGTAAGCTGTTTCCTACAATTTTCATAGATACCCAACAATCTTAATAACAATAAAGCCCATTTAAAAAGTACAACCAAGAGCTAATGGTCAAGGTTCATAGACACGTAGATTTAAGCCTGAAAGAGACTTTTCAGGTCAACAAGTTCAATCCCCTCCTTTCCTACTTGAGAAAACAGATGCCCAGAAAAATCAAGTGACTTAGCCAAAGTCACCCAGACAGTAAATGTCAGACTGAGGGTTTGAACCTACATCCTCTGATTCCAAAGCCAACACTCCCCCAGCTGCCTAAACACATACCAGAAGCTCAGAGTCTGCAGGGCCCAGCACATCCTGGATGCACCAAAGCCCTGCTAACAGGTCAGGGCCACAGATAAAGACTCTCATTCACAAAATGTGCCCAATTGGCTGGTCAATATTTCAGTCTAAACTAATTTTATTTCAGCCTAACTTATGTTCAACTTCACCCATGTGATGTGAAAAATTAAAAGACTTTTTAAAACGCTGTTCTTACAAAACATTAGACATGAAAATAAATTAAAAATAAACGAATGAATGAATAAAACAGTGTTCTTGCAATACGCTAAGGTCGGCTAATTGCCTGCCAAGTTTTATACCCTTATCCTGAATTCAACTTAAGAGCTAACTATTCCCTTAACTGTCCTGAATGGCAAGGAGCCTAGATGTCTTAGATGATATCAAGAAATCCTCTTCCTCCAGAAATATCGAGTCCGTGTTACCCCAATCAATCAATTATCGATTGAATGACTAACTGCCCTATCTCCAGATTAGAAGGCTCAATCCAGTCTTATTTCCTCCAAGCTCTCAGCTAGGCACGTTCCACTTCATTTTTAATAGTATGTTATATTTTCCAATTAAATGTGAAGATAATTTTTGACAATTAAAAAAAAAACTTTTGAATTCCAAAATGTTCTTTCTCTGTCCCTCCCCACCTCATGCACCATCTACTTCAGAGCAGTCTACAGGGAAAGTGAAAGCAAGGGAGCAGAAGGCGCTGATGATGAAATTCTTAAATACTGCAGTGATTACGAATAAGTGTAAATAGAACCAGCCATGACAATCTGGTAAAGTGGAAACATCACTGGATTAGGAGTCAGGAGTCCTGCTCTGGCCCTGTCCCTCATTAGCTATGTGACCTTGGGCAAATTCTTGACCTAGATAGACCTCTCTCTTGCTCTCACTCTCTCTCCTCCTCCTCATCCTTTTCTTTCTTTCTCTCTCTCTCTTCCTCCTCTTCTCTCTCTCTCATATATATATATATATATACACATATATGTATATATGATTATATATACTTTATAAATTATATATACATACACATATATACTTTATATACTATACACACACACACACACACACACACACACACACACATATATATATATATATATACTTTATCTGTAAAACAGGACTATAGTAAGAGGGTTATTTGACGGTAAGGTCACCAGAAAAGAGAGGGAGCTGGAAGAGAGCTTAGAAGATATCCCTTCCAGTTTTACAGCAGAAGAACTGAGCCTCAGAGAGTTTAGATGCCTTGTCCAAGTAAAGTGTCAGAGGCAGCATCTGAACGCAGGTCCCTCCTCTGACTCCAAATCCAGGCCTTTCACTTACGCCCCACTGCCTCACATAAAGGCTTTGCAACTATAAAGCATATCATTATAGTAACTAGTATAGTAATTCAGTCCAATAAATGAATAGACATTTGTTAATTTTATTATTAATTAAATGTATTGATTTTCACATTCAGCTACTCCTCCTCTTACCAGGAGAAGCACTGCAATGTGATGAAGCGCAATGATCATTGCTCATTGCCTCTGGCCTTCCACCGGTTCAGTCGTGACAAGTTGGTGGCTAAAAGCAGAAGTGAGACTGGAAGCCCATTTAATTGTCACCATGCTCAATCTAGAGCCGGCAGGGGCTTGAGCAATCCCCTGGGGCAAGCGGGGTGGCAGCCCTGGGGTCAGGAGGACCTGAGTTCAAATCAGACGCTTACGTATGTGACCCTGGGCAAGTCACTTAACCATGACTCCCTCCCAAAAAAAGCAGTCTCCGAGCCCAACCCCGTCATTTTACAGAGGCCCTTGAGTAGGGCCAAAAAAAGACGAAATGTCTTGCTCAGGGCCGCACAAGAAAGAAGAGTTGGGATTCAGAGGGCCTCAGATTCCAAGTCTAGTTGTTATATACACTACAGATGGGCTGCCCTGTGATACAGAGTAGTAAACTTTCAGTAAAACAAACAAGGGCACCCATTAGGCTTCTAAAACATGGGTTCTCAATAACCTTTTATGAACATAATTGATATTCTATAGTATCACACAACCCAATCACTTTCATATATGCCACCAAAATTATTACTATTTTACTTCTGTTAAATGTGTTGAGTATCTATAATATATAATATTATCTAATAAGTATCTATAATATATAATACATGTGGCCTTCTAGGTCCTTGGGTGCAGCCTTTTGGCTGAGTTCAAGTTCCATAGAATAAACCTTTTTATTAAGGGGATTTGTTCAAAGGGCTGCATCTGAGGACCCACAGGGCCATGTGCGGCTTTGAAGCCCTCGGCTTCCCTACCCCTGTGTTAAACACTCTACAAACTACAAGATTTAGAGGCAGTTAGTTGACATAGTAGGCAGAGTACTGGCCTTGGAGTCAAGAAGAACTGAGTTCAAATCTTACCTCAGACATTTTTTAGCTGTTCCCCTGGATAAGTCATTTAACTTGATGAATCACCTACACTAAGTTTCCTCATCAGTAAAATGAGAAATGAGGGGTTAAACCCAATGGCTTCTAAGGCCCCTTCAAGATCAAGATCTAGAGAGTTTGTGTGTGTGTGTGTGTGTGTGTGTGTGTGTGTGTGTGTGTGTGTAAAAAGACAGACACAGACCGAGACAGAAAGACACAGAGAGGGAGAGGGAGAAAGAGACAAGAGACAAAGAGAGACAGACAGAGAAAACACGCATGAGCGAGCGAGCACACTAGAAGCTAGCAGCTGAATAGCCTAGCTGCAATCTAAAGAGAACACAAGATTGACAGTTAAAATCAGAAGCTTCAAAAAGTTTTTTTTTCCCTATTTAAATCTACTTTTACAAACCACAGTAGCAAAAATCTTAAGGCAAGCAATAGTAATGTTAGTAAAATTTTATAATAATTGTAAATAGAACACTCCAGGAATCAAGATTCACTTGAAAAGGATGACTCACTGAGTCATATTTGCATTAATTACAAAAGTGGGTTTTACGTCTAAAATTATAAAATATAAACTAAGCCCTTGGCAACGACAGACTATATAGGGAAAGTCCCTTCTTTCTCCCTCCTTCTACCCTATTCTCTCTCCTCTTCCTTCTCCCTCACCCCTCAATGCTTGTACTTTTGAGGAAGGAGAGAAAAATCAAAAAGGGAGAGACAAAGCCGTGTGAAGGGTACAGACCACACTGGGAAGGAAGTCCAGGAGTCTGTGCTTCATGCACTAGGTTTCCATTCTTGATCTGTAGTAAAACTTTAAGAAATGTTTGTGTGTCTTAGGTGAGGGAAAGACATTTCAGAAAACTGCAGCCAGCAGGTGAATGACACGTCCTAATGAATCTTTTGTTTTGTTTTTCACACTTAGCATCAAAGCTGACTGACTTCAGAATGGAGGAGGGGTAGAATACTGAGGGAGGTAAAGGGTGAATTCCGGTAGAAATGCCCAAGATGTTCCCAGTTTGCTTGTGTGAAGGTCATTTCTGAAGCCCCACTGTATATACTACTCACTCACTGAAGCCAGCAAGAGTGGTTAAATTAACATGATGT